ATCAGGGGTCAGTGTTTAATCCATACACAATCATTTACACACATATACTATGAACCATTTAGCCTACCCAGTTCCCCTATAGCGCATGTGTTTGGACTGTTGGGGAACCCGGAGCACCCGGAGGAAACTCACGCCCACACGGGGAGAACATGCAAACTCCACACAGAAACACCAGTGATTTTCTTTCTGTGAGGTGATTGTGCTATGCAATGCACCACCTTTCTGCCCCTAAAACGAATAATGAGAAAAAAAATTAAACATATATGTGCAATACAACATGAGTAGCAGTGCGATGTGTCTGTATATCAGCACTGGTGGGAGGCGTGAGTTAGTGTTCCACCAAAGCGAACATACAGCCATATCTCACTGCTGCTCATGTGATATTGCGTTTACACAACAGTTTGACAGCATAATCGTGTATATAAAAAAAGAAGATCAAACAGGGAGAGTCTGAAAACACTTTTGTATGAGGAACTACTTTCTTCCGCCATTCATTCACATCTGCAGCTGACATCAGAACAGCAGAAACTGCCGCTCATTCACCACCTCACTGTAGAGCTAGTGTTTGAATGATTCTCTAGCGTAGTGGCTCTCAAGTACCACCTCAGACAAAAATTGTCTCTTTACGTTCCACCATAATGACCAGTAATGAAATATAGTAGCACAGTAGGCTAAATAAAGCAGCTACAGCACTGCACAGTTGAAAAATGAGGCAGATTAATTCCTATTATTAAGAATATGTATTATTGTCAGCCACTTTAAACATTATAAATAGTTTGAACAATAACTATGCTGGCAGACAAAAGCAAAACTAAACTAAAAAACTTCACCGTTTAATTCAGAATGTGCTTTTAAATGTTAATTAAAAATGACACTGTGCTTAAAACGTAAAAACAAAACTGCTGTACTTTCATTCATTCATTCATTTTCTTTTTGGCTTAGCCCCTTTATTATTCTGGGGTTGCCACGGCGGAATGAACCACCAATTTATCCAGCATATGTTTTACGCAGCGGATGCCCTTCCATCCGCTGGGAAGCATCCACACACACTCATTCACACTCATACACAACAGACAATTTAGCCTACCCAGTTCACCTGAACCGCATGTGTTTGGACTGTGGAACAAACCGAAGCACCCAGAGGAAACCCACGCGAACACAGGGAGAACATGCAAACTCCACACAGAAACGCCAGCTTACCCAGCCAGGACTTGAACCAGCAACCTTCTTTCAGTGAGGCGACAGCTCTACCTACTGTACTAGTAAAGTATTGTTATGTTATGTTGTTATGTTTGATGAATAGTAGACTATTCATCAAAACTTGGAAACCTGGTAAATATAGGATAAATGTTGTGTATATATATATATATATATATATATATATATATATATATATATATATATATATATATATATATATATATATATATATATATAATTTGAATATATTTATATTTGTATACATTTTGAAATAAGTTGCATTTACACATGACATATTTGTATATATTTAAAATCTAAACGTTGACTTGTATTTTAAATATTTGATCCGTAATGGCTTAAATTAGAAATGAGATCGGCTGCAGGTCATTTACAGTCGGCCTGTGTGTGTCAGAAAAGCGAGTGATTAAATGCACACAGTGCTTGACCAATACATATGTGCTGTGTTTTCGTGATTTGGTGCGAATAAGATCACCTTTAAAGTGAACTGTGAAGCTTGGGTTAACTGCGCACTGTTTTCAAGCAGACTCGGGTACGGTTCGCAGTCCCTCCATCTGTGCACTGGGAGACTAACTTTAACTAGATTCCACCTCTAAGCTCCTAGCATGGCAAAGTGGCTTGAGTCTATGTTCTGAGTCTCGCGCCATTTGAATCACGTCCAAATTAATACGAATAAATCTGAGGTGACAAACTAAACCGAAAGCCATGTCCGCTGCTTAACAAAACAAATAACTTTATATATTGAAAACACTCAACTCAACTCAACTCACTTTATTTCTATAGCACTTTCACAAATCACAATGGATTACCAAAGTGCTGTACATAAAATCAAATAAAAAGCATGTAAAATATACATAAAACCAAAATACATAAACTCATATGACATGATTAAAAGCTAAAGAAAATAAGTGTGTTTTCAGTGACCTCTGAAAAGACTCAAAAGTTTGAGCTGTTCTTACAGAGAGTGGGAGATCGTTCCAGAGTCTTGGAGCTGCTACTGAGAAAGCTCTATCACCTCGACATTTTAAGCGTGATCTAGGAACTTGCAAATAGAGACGATCCATAGAGCGAAGAGATCTCACAGGTTGGTGCATAATAATTAGCTCAGAGATATACTCAGGGGCCAGGCCGTGGAGGGATTTAAAAACACACAACAGAACTTTGTACTGAATTCTAAACTGGATTGGCAGCCAGTGTAGGGAAACAAGTACAGGTGTAATGTGCTCTCGTTTTTTTGTGCCTGTTAAAAGCCTGGCAGCTGCGTTCTGGACCAGCTGCAGTCGCGAGAGAGAGGCCTGACTCACACCCAGATACAATGCATTGCAATAGTCCAGACGAGAAGAAATAAAAGCATGCACAACTTTCTCCAAATCACTGAAAGAGAGGATAGGCTTTAGCTTGGCAATATATCTAAAATAGAAAAAACTATTTTTGACAACCGCATTAATTTCCCGATCAAATTTAAGCTCAGAGTCAAAGATAGTCTGAACCTTTTTGAAAACACACACTATTTTACACAACCACGAGCACACGTTCAACACATTTGTAATAATTGTTTTACCAATAATGCAGCATGAGGAAAATCCTGAGTTTGCAGTGACTGAAATGCAACACAACAGCACTGGTCTTCTCTAGCGCGTGTGTATCTGCATCTTCCTCTGGCAATGCACTAGGGCTGCTCGATTTTGGGAAAAATCATAATCACGATTATTTTGGTCGTAATTGTAATCACGATTATTCTAAACGATTATCAGTTGAAGTCAAAATTATTAGCGCTCCTGAGATTTTAGTTTTTTTAAATGACTATTTCCCAAATGATGTTAAACACAGCAAGGAATTTTAACAGTGTTTCCTCTAATATTTTTTTTTTCTGGAGAAAGTCTTATTTGTTTTATTTTAGCTAGAATAAAAGCAGGTTTAAATATTTGGAAACCCATTTTAGGGTCAATATTATTAGCCCCCTTAAGCAATACATTTCTTGTAGAAGAATCTACTGTTATACAATGACTTGCCTAATTACTCTAATTACGCCTTTGAATTGCACTTTAATCTAAATGCTTGTATTTTGAAAAACATCTAGTAAAATGTTATGTACTGTCATCATAGCAAAGATAAAACAAATCAGTAATTAGACATGATAAATCAAAACTATTATGTTCAGAAATAAGTTTAAAAAAACTTCTTTCCATTAAACAGAAATTGGAGGAAAAGGGTTGCTAATATTCAGGAGGGCTAATAATTCTGACTTCAACTGTATATATACAGTTATATTCCACCCTGCAAAGGAAAGAGAAATAAATACAATAGAATAAAAATATGAAACAAACTGTGCTTTAAGCATCTCCACCCTAAGAAAAACGCTTTAGCTACAAAAATCCTTCAGTCAAGAGCAGTAAGGGATGTTTGATTAGTGTGAAATGCTGCCGCCTGTTTTATCATTGTCACTTTAATGGTTTCTCTTTCACGTGTCTTTTGATCCTCAACTCGTTTGTTTATTACGCAAATGAGGGTTAATATGAATAATCACTAATCACCGCGTTTTGACACCTATTTGACCATTAAAGCGCTCATGTTTAGATGACTTTAGATGTTTGCGCTCCTCTGCTCGTCTCAGTGTGCGAAAGAGACCGAATGCTGACCGAGTGCTTATGCGTGTGCGCGTGTTGCACACACACATAAGCACCCGGTCTTTCGCGCTTTTGGTATATGATGCAATAATCGTTTATCTCGATTAATGGTTTTTCATAATCACTAGAAGATTTCGATTAATTGCACAGCCCTACTCTGCACCTAGCGGATTGATTTTTAACATCTGATGACGCAATGCACTAAAGTAAACATTCAAAGCACACTAGCATATTCGTACACTGCAGGGAACAGCCAATGCTGTCTGATCACATGACTCTCAGCGTTCTTCCACGTACCACTAAATGGAAGCAGGAGTGGTACGTGTACCACAGTTTGAGAACCACTGCTCAAGCGTAATGTCTAAAGTGATGACAAAACAGCAGATTGTGCTCACATTGTAAGTTTATAGGGCTGAACAGCGTGAAATGCCATCAGTCTACAGAGATTTCCCAGTGTTTCTCTGCTGCAGTCAGGAGATCTCAATAATGAACCCAAAGCAAAGCAAACACTAGCAGATTACTATGGTTTAAATACAGCACTACAACATAGAGATCGACTCAGAATGTCACTTACCTGTTTAATAATGATTTGATCTGCTGTAGTTTGAAATCACAATGAGTGTTTCTCCTCTGAGGGCTTATTATGCGGTCTCTGTCGCCATCTTGTGGCGGAGCGTCAACCCTCTTTGCTCTGCTCAGTATGACAGGTTGATGTCCGCCGATGTGCTGTCTCTCAGAAATGATACACATGTAAAATAGCCACTGTCCTTATAAATAAACTGCGTAGCTCTGATCTAAACTACTACATTCTTGACTAAAAAGCCTCAAAAGTACATGATGTTGTCCAACAGCTGCAACATTTGTCAAGTTGTCGTGAGTTTATTAATTTGCTGTCATGTGAGCGGAGTAATACAGAAGAGTGAAGAGGCTGTGCGAGTGCTGCTATTGCAGAATATCACACGGCTATCAGCCAATCGGATTCGAGGACAGACTGAACTGTTGTTTTTATATATATATATATATATATATATATATATATATATATATATAATTGACAACATATTGTATGTTTTCAGCTCATTTTAACATGATCATGTTTAAAATATACATAACTCTACATTCCTGATGTTGTCTTCTGCTGTGTTTTTGATGCAGGCGGGGTCACGTGATCATCCAGGATATGATGTCATCAGTCTGCATCATCAGCAGCAGTTGAATCAAGCACAGGTTCATCACTCATCACAGATATCGCTTCAATAAAGGCCTTTTCTAGAGCTTCTATTTTGATGTACATATCCATATATATATATATATATATATGATTGAGAATTGAGGACGCTTCTCTTATGTGGGCCGGACAGACGGAAACAAACACAGCAATAATCCTCCAATCAGGTTCTGCCGCTGGATGTCTTTACTTTCAGGTCTGATGCGACGCTCGCTCAGATTCTCTCTCTTCAGGGCTCGTGGCGAATGATTAACGCTTTTACAAACGTATGAATGGGGAAAACAACCTGCTTATTTAAGAAAATAAATTTTATACCTTGAGATGAAATTGTGTACATTTCTTGCGTCATTTCTAGAGTAAATAAATGATTATATTCTCAGATATGAGCTGGTGTTTTATTTCTTACACTCTTTCACAATGTACATCTGGATTATCTGTTTCATATTCATAATATACCGCATCTTCAGAAGCTCACATCAGTTTCAATTCAGCTATAAAATGAGCGATAAATAAAAAGACATGTCACAACTGTCTAGCACAATTCACAATAAAAATGTTAACCTAACCCAAAATATAAACGAATAAACAGACGTTACGCCTCTTCTGAATATATTCATAATCCGTATATCCTGCATTTTACAGTATAACATGCTGTAAACACTCCATGGTCATGCGTACTACAAAAAATGATCATTTACTCTTAAACGCTTCCTTTTTTTTTTTTTCAAAATTAGAGTCCCATATACATAGTAAAACAGCCTTATCACCCTGCAGCCCCAGAGCGGTCACTCACTGAAGCTATGCAAGGCTGAGCCTGGTTAGTAGCTAGATGGGAGACCACATGGGAACACTAGACTGCTGTTGGCAGTGGTGTTAGTACGGCCAGCAGGGGGCGCCGTCTTTCAGATGAAATGTTAAACTGAGCTCCTAACTCTCTATGCTCATTAATAATCACATATTCTGGTAAATAGTAGGGGTGTAACCCCGGTGTCCTGGCCAAACTCCCTCCATCAGCCATTACCCATCATGGCCTCCCAATCATCTCCATCCACTGAACTGACTAAATCACTATCTCTCCACTCCACCTATAGCTGGTGTGTGGTGAAGCACTGGCACTGTTGTCTTGTGGCATCACCCAAGTGGAGCTGCACACTGGTGGTGTTGTAAAGAGACCCCCCTCATGATTGTGAAGCGCTTTAGGTGTATGGCCATACACAATACGTGCGCTATATAAATGCACATTTCATTACATTACATACATTACAAAAGGAATGCAAACTTATATATCCTGAAAATAATGAAAAGGTCACTGTTGTAATCTCACTAGGAACATTGTGGCCAATCAAATGCAGCCTGGGGCATGAATATTAATAAACATAACAGCTGGTGTTTTGATTGGCTTGTTTTTCACTGATATTTAACACTCACAGGATTTACACAAGAGGAAACTGATGTTTGTGGCTCACAGTATGGACCTTAAGTACTCAACTCTTATTCAGGTATGCCACGGTATACCCAGAATTTCTTCACACATCACATTTAAACGTGTATATTACATTGAGTGTGGATCTGGATATGGATTTGAAATAGACTCTTTATTGGAATCTGGATCAGGGTTTGAGTGTGAATACAGATCATGTTCTGGATCTGGATTTAAAAAAAGAGTCCGTATTGGAATCTGGATCAGGGTTTGTGTGTGGATCTGGATCATGTTCTGGATCCGGATTTTAATATAGCCTGTATTGGAATCTGGATCAGGGTTTGACTGTGAATCGGGATCTGGATCATGTTCTGGATCTGAATTTGAAAAAGAGTCTGTATTGGAATCTGGATCAGGGTTTAAGTGTGGATCTGGATCATGTTCTGGATCTGAATTTAAAAAGAGTCTGTATTGGAATCTGGATTAGGGTTTAAGTGTGGATCTGGATCATGTTCTGGATCTGGATTTGAAATAGAGTTTGTAATGGAATCTGCATTTGTGTTAGAGTGTGGATTGGTATATTGATCATGTTCTGGATTTGAAATAGAGTCTGTATTGGAATCTGGACCAGGGTTTAATTGTGGATCTGGATTTGAAATAGACTCTTTATTGGAATCTGGATCAGGGTTTGACTATGAATCGGTATCTGAACCATGTTTTGGATCTGAATTTGAAATAGAGTCTGTATTGGAATCTTGATCAGGGTTTGAGTGTGGATCTGAATCATGTTCTGGATCTGGATTTGAAATAGAGTTTGTATTGGAATCTGCATTTGTGTTAGAGTGTGGATTGGGATATTGGTCATGTTCTGCATCTGGATTTGAAATGAACTCTGATACAGATTTTTAAATAGAGTCTGCGTGTGGATATGGATCATGTTCTGGATTTAAATTTGAAATAGAGTCTGAATTGGAATCTTTATCGGGGTTTAGTGTGGATCAGGATCTGGATCCTGTTCTGGATCTGGATTTTGAGATCTGGATCAGAGTTAGAGTCTGGATCGGGATCATGAAATATACTCTATTTTAGAATCTGGATCAGGGTTTAGTGTGAATCAGCATCTGGATGATGTTCTGGATCTAGATTTGAAATATACTCTATTTTAGAGTCTGGATCAGGGTTTAGTGTGAATTCGGATCATGTTCTTGATCTGAGATTGAAATAAAGTCTGCATTGGAATCTGGATCAGGGTTTGAGTATGGATTAGGATCATGTTCTGGATTTGAATTTGAAATAGAGTCTGAATTGGAATCTGGATCACGGTTTGAGTGTGGTTTGGGTCCGTGTTCTGGATTTGAATTTGAATAGAGTCTGAATTGGAATCTGGATCAGGGTTTGAGTGTGGATTGGGTCCATGTTCTGGATTTGAATTTGAAATAGAGTCTGAATTGGAATCTGGATCAGGGTTTGAGTGTGGATTGGGTCCATGTTCTGGATTTGAATTTGAAATAGAGTCTGAATTGGAATCTTGTTCAGGATTTGAGTGTGAATTCAGATCATGTACAGGATCTGAATTTGAAAAGAGTCAGCATTAGAATCTTGATCAGGGTTTGAGTGTGGATCCGGATCATGTTCTGGATTTGAATTTGAAATAGAGTCTGAATTGGAATCTGGATCACGGTTTGAGTGTGGATTGGGTTCATGTTCTGGATTTGAATTTGAATAGAGTCTGAATTGGAATCTGGATCAGGGTTAAAGTGTGGATCGGGATCTTGTTGATGGCCAAGGAAACACAGCCTGGGGGTGCATATTAATGATCCTGTGTGCAACAGATCTGTCTGTGTTTTGTTCTGATTTTTCACTTCTATTTTACTCTCAGGATTTACATGAGAATGTGGAAATAAGGTTGTTTGAGGCTTGTGGTATGACATTTCCCTGTGCTGGACTTTTATTATTATTATTCAGCTATGCCTAGCTACATCCAGATTGAAATTTCATGGCACATTTACGCACAAATCCTGTGAAGAACTCTACAAAGCACAACAAAAACAGGATTAAACAGAAAGGAGTGTTTGATGGAGACTCATGAAGCCTGAATGAATGAGCCTGGGTAATGAATCAGCTGTTTCTAATGCAGGATCTGCATTATTGATGTGAATGTCAGACGTTTCTCACCTCATATGAGTGAAAAATGTCCGTCTGCCGCTTCTGATCGATCTTTCGCCACTCTTTATCTGGTTTGCTGTGAGCTGATTAATAACTGCATGATCAGAGATGCTCTGTGGGTTTATCTGTCATTTCCGCTCGATGTTTTTCTGCTCGTTTATTTGCATTAATGTGTTGGGAGATGGATTATCAGTGGACATACTTTAATCACTCCGCATTAGCTGTCGTCTAATTGTTGATCTTAAAAACATCTGAAGGCTAAAACAGCTCCTGAAATAATGATGGTGTCAGAGCTAAATGCAGGACTCCTAAATGTTTGCTTTAAGAGTATTTCATCATGTTTTAGCATCAAAGCTAGCTGCTAAATCAGTGAAACATTAGCAGTAATGAAGACAATATAAATCACGGAGAGCACAAACTATCCACAAATGGCTGAAAAGAAAACATTTCAGAAACATTTATGATTTAAGAAAGAGATCGCCTTAGTCACAGGAGTATAATACACACACACACACACACACACACACACACACACACACACACACACACACACACACACACACACACAAAGTGTGGATCTGGTAAATTTCTGGAATTGGATTTGAAATAAAGTCTGTATTGGCATATGGATTAGGGATTGAGTGCGGATCTGGATTGTGATCTGGATTATGTTCTGATTTGGATTTAAAATAAAGTCTGATGGAATCAGGATTATGGGTTTGAATATGGAACTGGATTAAAATGTGGATCATGCTTTAGATTTGAAATAGAGTCTTCATTGGAATCTGGATCAGGGTTTGACTGTGAATCGGGATCTGGACCATGTTCTGGATCTGAATTTGAAAAAGAGTCTGTATTGGAATCTAGATCAGGGTTCGAGTGTGGATCTAGAATATGTTGTGGATTTGGATTTAAAATAGACTCTGTATTGGAATCTGGATTAAGGTTTGAGTGTGGATCTGGATCAGTTCTGGATCTGAAATAGTTTGTATTGGAATTTGGTTCAGGGTTTAATTGTGGATCTGGATTGTGATCTGGATTATGTTCTGATTTGGATTTTAAAAAGTCAGATGGAATCAGGATTATGGGTTTGAATATGGAGCTGGATTAAATTCTGGATCATGCTTTAGATTTGAAATGGATTCTGTATCGGAATCTGGAACAGTTTGAGTGTGGATCTGGGTTGGGATATGAATCATGTTCTAGATCTTAAATAAAGTCTGTTTTGCAATCTGGATCAGGGTTTGTGTGGAGTGTGGATCAGGATTACGATCATGTTCTGATCTGGTTTTCAAATAGACTATTTTAGAATCTGAATCAGAGTTAGAATGTGGATCTGGATTGTGTTCTGGATTTTAAATAGAGTCTGTATAGGAATCTGTTCATGGTTTGATTGTGAATCTGGATCTGGATTTGAAATAGACTTTTTATTGGAATCTGGATCAGGGTTTGACTGTGAATCAGGATCTGGACCTTGTTCTGGATCTGGATTTGAAATAGAGTTTGTATTGGAATCTGCATTTGTGTTAGAGTGTGGATTGGATTATTGATCATGTTCTGGATCTTGATTTGAAATAGATTCTGTATTGGAATCTGGACCAGGGTTTGATTGTGGATCTGGATACGGAATTGAAATAGACTCTTTATTGGATTCTGGATCAGGGTTTGACTATGAATCGGGATCTGGACCATGTTCTGAATCTGGATTTGAAATATAGTTTGTATTGGAATCTGCGTTTATGTTAGGGTGTGGATTGTGGTATTGATTCTGTTCCGGATCTGGATTTGAAATATAGC